CAACCTTCCTTCCGAGGAGTGGCTGGTGGGTTTGAACCGCCAGCCGTCTGGTTAGCAGGCAAGTGTCTTAGCCACTATGCTACCAGAGCTCCCCGTTAGAGCCTTAGAAACCTATGGGGCAGTTCTGCTCTGGCCTATAGAGTCTAATGAATCAGAATCAACTTTATGGCAGTGGGTTTGTTTTTTTTCTGGTTTAGAGGGGATCAGAGGGAGCTCTGGTAGCGTAGTGCTAACCAGAAAGCTAGTGGCTCAAACCCACCAGCCACTCCTCGGAAGGAAGGTTGGGCAATCTACTTCCACAGTGGTACCACCTCAGAAACCCACGGAGGGGTTGCTATGAGTTGGGTTCGACTCGATGGCACATAACAACAGCAACAACATGGGATCAAATTGGCAACAGCAACTCAGAAAATAGGAACCTTAGGAGCCAATAAGGTTATGTTAATGAGGGAAAATAACTGAAAAGGAGGATGACAGTGATGCACAACTGAAAGAATATAGCCAGTGTCACTATATTATACAGTAGAAACTGTTGACTTGGTCTGTGTTTTGCTATGCATATTCTAAGCAATAAAAAAATAAATAAAATTGAGAAAAAAATCTTGAGAATCTTTACCAATTTATTTTTCTTGGACTATTAGAAGTATGTTACAATTTACTGTGGTTGTGGATATGTTAGTTTCTCTGAGCAGTTCTTTAAAACTTTGCCTTTTGTGCTTTGAGCCTCCTGTTATTTGCATACAAGGGCCTAATTATTACCTTCCTGGAAACCTGTTGTTGTTCTGTCTCAGAAGAGACAGACAAGCTTCTTTCTTTTCCTTTGGGTTATGTTTTCACTGAGGGAAAAGCCTTTCGACTATGTGGGCTCTTATTTCCACCTCAGAGCCTTGTGTGAGCCCAAGGACTTGAGAACTGTTTGCCAAAGGACTTTAAACCTTTGGCTAATGCAGTGTTGGTGTTTGTGTTGATTCCTTGTTTGATTCCGGTACTTTGGGAATTCCTTTTTGTGAGCTCAAATATATATTTAAAGGAATGTATTTTATATTTCATCCAGCTTTTTTATTGTTGATAGTGGGAGAATTTTTAGGTTATCTCTTTTGCTATATTGTTGAAACCAGATATTTCTTTGTTCAGTTCTTCATTTTGTATTCTTTCTGTTCTTTTCCTTTTGTTAGCATTTTTCAATTCATAATACCTTATAGTTTTTAGTGTGGCTCTTTCTACTTATGTAGGAAAGGAAACAATGTTAATTGTGGAGCAAATAGATAGCATTTGGTGTTTTTAAACAATTCCATTAAAAGCAGTACTGGTAGTCTTCAGCTTATGACAGGGTTTTGTTCTGATGACTCTGTCATAAGTTGGTTCTGATAAAGGTCAAATACCTGTTGTTTTTTTCCTTCAAATTTTCATTATGATGGCTTTTTATTATCAGTACCTTTATAAATTAGATCTTGACTATCTGCAAGTGAACATCTGAGAATGATAACACTTGCAAATTATGCATTGCAACATTGTGTATAGTACATATTACTAATAGTAAAATGTAAAAACAAACAAAAACAAAACCCAGGTGGTTGTAAGTTTAGTTCATTGTAACTCAAATATGTCTGACATAAGTTGGGAACTACCTGTACTGAGTAGAAAAATTTGACAAAACAATTGATGCCTATAAAATCACTATTGAAATTACAGTTTAATTTTGAGTCTGTTAACGTAATTTTTGTTTTGTTTTCTTTTAACAGTTTAAAGCAGAGTGGAAAATTCCCTGGAAATCCCTGGCCCCCTTATAAGAGAAGGACAGCACTCCATCCCAGCTATAAAGGTCTCATGAGACTTTTGCACTGTAAAACTTTACACATTGTGCTATTCACTCTGCTTTACAAGGTACAGTAGCAATTTAAATAGAAAGAATCAGATTAGAATTTATTTTCAAATGAAAGTACTAAAAGATGGCAGAAAAATACCACTTTTAAAGCAATATATATATACATACAGATATATAGAGAGCCAGTTAAGATATATGAGGTTATGTCATAATCATATACATGTGAATACCAACTTGAAAATAATGGATAGCTAAGCCATTTTTTTAGGATACTATTTGTCTAGATAAGACAAATACCTAGCTTCAGTTAGAAGTATTTATTTATGGCTACTGTGGAGTAAGAAGGCAACTACAGGTGGAACTACAGAAGGAATAGAATGAACAACAGGGAGCAAACAAACACAGGAACCCACTAAAATGATCAAACGAAGATGGCAGCTGTGGGGCAGAGAACACTTAGTTTAGAGGATTAGTCAGTAAAATGATTTAAAAATGTCCTTTTGCTTAATAAGAAATAGAATATTTTTTCTTATTAAAAAGGCATTATTTTACAAATAATTTATTGAATGCTTACAGAGCTCTGGTGGTGCAGTGGTTAAAGCATTTGGCTGCTAACCCAAAGGTTGGCAATTTGAACCTACCAGTTGCTCTGTGGGAGAAACATGAGGCAGTATGCATCCATAATGATTTATAACCTTAGAAATCCTATGGGGAAGTTCTACTCTGTCCTATGGGGCCACTATGAAGTGGAATCAACTCGATAGCAGAGGGTTTTTGTCACTGCCAGGTTTTATTTCAGATATTTTGTATACGTTTACTTGTTTAAATCTAGTAAAAATCCTTATGAGTAATAATTTTATTATTATTCTCACTTGTTCAGAAGGGACAATTGAGTTTTAGAGGTTAAATAACTGGTTTAGATGGTGAAGCTGAGTAGTGTTATAAGCAATAATTAATGAGTAATTCATGCTTTAAAAATTAAGGAAGCCTTATTGCAAATGATTTGTATTCTTTCAAGTTACATTTTTTCACCTTTTTCATTTGTTTAACATAAAAATAGTATTTTACCAGAAGTAAATAGGCAGTATTTTAACTGTTACAGAGTTACTATGAATGAAATTTAAAATTCCAACTTCATAATAACTTTCATGATTTTAGTGAGAAAAATTCCTTTGACATTGAATTTGCTTAATCTTGTTGAGTCATCTTTGTAAAAATCAATTTTAGTAAACCACCTTCACCCCTTGCCATGTTTAATATTGAAAAAATCTTATACTACAGAGCATTTTAAAACTCCCCAGGAAAATCATTTTTAGGTTTTTCTTTTTTACAGTATCTAATAAAGTGACTTTTTTCTCCTTTTTAAAGTTACTCATATGAAGACAATTTCAAGTAAAAATTTATTTAAATTTAGCTGATAATGCTATATTTATTCAGAGGAGGTAACGTAGTATGATAGAAAGAATAATGTCTTGGGAGTCTGTAATCTTCATTCTAGTGTTGCTGACATTAGCTGGGTTTGTGGCTGTGTCTTGATTTCCTCTCTGTAATGTAATTAGACGGTAGGAAGGTTGGTCAATCTACTTCCATAGTGATACTGCCTCGGCAACCCAAGGAGGGGTCACTATGAGTCGGGGCCAGCTTGACGGCACATAACAACAACAATGACAACAACATAATTAGAAACAGTGTTCTCTGTTGCCTCCGTGGCTTCCATCCCCTCTTGCTACTACTTCTGCTCCTTATACCATCAGTGCTACCTATTCATTGTTGAACACTAATCGCTGGACATTATAGTAAGCAAATTACAGGCATCAGCTCATGTAATTCTAACCACAATTCTGCATTATTGCTCCCATTTTAGAGATGAGAAAACTTAAGCCAGAATCTCTTGTTCAAAGTCAAATAGTTTAGACCAAGCTCATGTTAAACAATCTGGTTTTTAAGAAAAAGTTTCAGAGCCTACATTCTTTACTATTGGCCTCACAAGAGATGACTAGAAAGCCCTCTCAGTAGCCAACATAAAATTTAGTGACTGAAACTCCATTCTTATTCACAATAGATTAGGTCTTAAGTGACCAAGTCCTTCTTTCTCAGCCCTCTCAGCCATTTGGAAAATTTCTGTTAGGTCAGCCTAGACTGTCTTCTTTTTGGCTGTGCTATATTGTCCACAGCTGATACTGCTACTCCCATCAAACCTCTTGCTCTTTATTCCTTCCCTCATTTGGTCAGATGGCTTTTGTATAATGATGACAAGGTGGCTGGCCATTTCTCCTTATGGTATTTTAAATATCTTTTAATTAGTGATCTGTTACATCATATTGAATAAGTGATTGGAGTAGGTAGCCCTGAAGTCCTGTGTAAAATGTGTAAGATTGTATTATATTCCCTGTATAAAGTCACATTTATTGTATTTTCACAGAAAAGCCTCTCTGCTAACCATTTGCACCCTTTCCTTTCTCATGCACGTAAACTGCACACTAACATACATGCTTATAGAACCACACAAAATAATCAGAAGCTCAGAATTTTAGTTTCATAGATAGACTTTAAGAACATTAATGTTTTATAAACATTTATTTTGCTTCCACTTATGTGCCAGCTGCCATACTAAACACATTTGCACAAAACCCCTTATTTAACAGATTTATTTGTCTGATATTATTGTCATCAGGAGAAGAGTATCAGCAAATTAGAATGTAACATGTTCTTGTTAAATTGTTTTATTAGATACTGGTATATTTGTTATGAATAGTTTCAGTGGATTATTAAATGTGTTAACTTTTAGCAAAAATGCAAATTTAGTATTTCTGGCTATTGTTTTAAATATTATGTGATCTTGAGAGGGAACCTTTTTTGTTTTAGATTGCCGGCTCACTAAGATACAGTTTTACTTAAATATCAGATCATGCTTTTATGTTTATTTTTATAAATACTATTATTTTAACTTACAACATTAAAACATTTTGGACCTTTAAGTGACATATATTTTGTGAGAAAATAATGACAAGACTTTCCTCCTCCCTTTTTAAAGATTTTGATGGATCATCAAAATCTGTCAGAACATGTTCTCTGCATGGTTTTATATCTGATTGAATTAGGACTTGAAAATTCTTCTGAAGAGGAATCAGATGAAGAGGTAAGTAGTTTCTCATATTTTTAAATAATAAAGTTATAACATGCCTCAGTAAAGGTAGTATGTGGTCTTAAAGTATACTTACGGATTCATCATACTCTAAGATTTGCCTAGTCATCCTTCTGAGGAGTGGCTGGTGGGTTTGAACTGCTAGCCTTCTGGTTAGCAGTCACATGCCTTAGGTGCTACACCACCAGAGCTCCAAGAGTTGTTCTTTTCTTTTTTAATGGTGATTTGGGTGAAAATTTACAGAGCAAATTCACTTTCCATACAGCAGTTCACATATACTTTGTCTCATGTCATTGACCACAGT